TTCCCTTAACTGTACCTCAAAAATCTTTTATAGATTTTTAAAAACCAAGATCCAGTTAAGATCTAAGCATTGCAAGTGGTTAAGATGTCTCCATATCTTTCTTTAAAATTATTTAAAATTTTTCATTTACAGTTGACATATATTATTATATTAGTTTCAGTGTATACCCGTGATTAGACATTACATAACTTACTAAGTGATCATCCCAATAAAACTCGCACCCTTCTGACACCATACATATTAGAATATTATTGACCATATTCCCTGTGCTGTACTTTACATCCCCATGATGACTATTCTGCCACAACCAATTTGTACTTATTCCCTTCATTTTTTCTACCTATTCCCCCAACTCTTCTCTCATCTGGCAACCATCAAAATGTTTTCTGTATCTATGAGTTTGTTTCTGTTCTGCTTGTTCATTTACTTTTTTAGATTTTTTGTTGATAGGTATTTTTGCCATTTTGTTGTTCATATTTTTTATTTTTGTTTTTTCTTCTTCCTAAAGAAGACCCTTTAACAGTTCATATAATACTGTTTTGGGGGGTGGTGAACTCTTTTACTTTTTCTTGTCTGGAAAGCTCTTTATCTGTCCATGGATTTTAAATGAAAGCTTTGCTGGGTAGAGTAATCTTGGTTGTAGGCCCTTCCTTTTCATCACTTTGAACATTCCTTGCCAACTCCTTCTGGCCAGCGAAGTTTCTGTTGAGAAGTCAACTGACAGTTGTATGGGAGCTCTGTTGTAGGTAACTAACTGCTTTCTCTTGCTACTTTTAAGATTCTCTCTTTGTCTTTCACCTTTTGCATTTTAACTACGATGTGTCTTCATGTGGGTTTCTTTGGGTTCATTTTGTTTGGAACTCTCTGCACATCCTGGATTTACATCTCTATTTCTTTCATCAAGTTAGGGAAGTTTTCTGTTCTTATATTTTCAAATAGATTGTCACTTTCTTGCTCGCTATCTTCTCCTTCTGGCATCCCATGATGCAAATGTTGGTATGCTTGAAGTTGCCCTAGAGGTTCCTCACACTATCCTCATTTTGGGGGGATTGTTTTTCTTTTTGCTGTTCTGATTTGGTGTTTTTGCTTCCTTATTCCAAATTGCTTTTTTTTTCTGAGTTAAATTGATGCCCTGACATCAGTTGGTTTTATTCATATTATAAAGAAACAAGTGGGACAACTGTAACAGAATAAACAATAAATATGAAAACAAATTGCTGATTTGATTCTCAGCTTCATCTACTCTTCCTATAAATTATTCTTCATTTGTGATTGATCATTTTTTATGCTGAAGTTCTACGTTCATTGAGCATCCTTAAAACCAGTGTTATGAACTCTCCATCTATTTGCTTGTCTTCGTTTTGTTTAGTTCTTTTTCTGGAGTTTTGTTCTGTACTTTGATTTTGGAACATTTCCTTGTCTTCTCACTTGGCAGTCTCCCTGTGTTTGTTTCTGTGTATTACACAGGTAGAGCTGCTACATCTCCTGGGCTTGCTAAAGCCTAATGTAGTAGGTGTTCTGTAAGATCCAGTGGCACAGCCACCCCTATTACCCAAGCTGTACACCTGAGATGTGCCCCTTGTCAGCTGTGTACACCCTCCTGTTGTACTTGTTTTGAGTGCTCTTGGCATATCAGGGGGAGGGATTTATGCCCAGGCAGATCAGCTACAGAGACTGACTGTGACCACTGACCATTGACCTCTGACCACTATGGAGGATCAGCTGTGCAGGGGGCCCCCCTTACAGTGTAGGACTTATTTCAACAGGGCTCTGGCACCTAGTCCACCCCTGAGAGTGTCACTTGTGGAGGTATTGGATGGTGGTGCTTGGTTGTGGTCTAAAGCTGTCCACTGGGTGTGCTGGCTCTGGGGCCTCCAGAGAGATGCAAGCTAAGGTCAGCTAAGAGGAAGAGTGTGCACTAGGTCCTTTGCCTTGGGAGTTTTTAGGGGAGGTCCTAGGGGAAGATCTCAATAGAATATTCATCAGCTTTATGCTGGTGCACCAAAATGAAATTTATCTCTTTGACTTTATCCATACTGGTTTGTGGTTGGCACAAATGGCACTAATTGGATTTCTGTTATCTATCTCCCTGAGTAGGGTGATTTAAGCTATTTACCCTCTGGTTGAGGAGAAGTATAAACCATTTACTCTTAAAAGTCCACAGTTAGGGGAGGTAGAGTTTTGTGATTTGCTAGATGGCTGTAAACTGCTTGACTATTTAACTATCTGTTTCCCTATACCCCTTGTTCTGACTTATTAGCCTTTTTCTTTTTTTTATAACAACATTTACTGAGTGCCTTTTTAAAAAAGATTTTATTTTTAGAGAGGGAAGGGGGTGAGAGAGAGAGAGAGAGAGAGAGAGAAACATCAATGTGCGGTTGCTGGGGGTCATGGCCTCCAACCCAGGCATGTGTCCTGACTGGGAATCAAACCTGTGACACTTTGGTTCGCAGCCCGTGCTCAATCCACTGAGCTACACCAGCCAGGGCTTTTTTTTGCCCTTTTCAATACCAGTCTTGATGTAGCTTCTTCTAGAATTCTCTAGTTGTAGGACTTCATTCCATTCAGGCAGATTTCAAGTGGTTCTAAACGACGGTTGTTCTGTAGTTGAGTTGTAATTTTGATGTGGTTTTAGGAGGTAAATATTGTTTACCTATGCTGCCATCCTGACCAGAAGCCTCTTGTATCTCTTTTTTATCTTACTTGTAGTTCCTCCTCATTTCTATTTGTCTTACTGACTTTGGCTTTTTGAAGAGATGAGGCCAGTTACAATCTGGATTTTCTTAAGGTAAATTATAATTTCTTTAATAAATAATTTTGTAACTTTTAAAAAACTAGTACCTCAGCACAAAAATGTAATTGAGAAACACTAATCTAAGGACTATTTATTTGATAGAGTGATCAATCATTCCATATTGCCCAGGAATGAGGTGGCTCCCAGAAAACGAAGGACTTTCAGTAATACAACCAGGAAAGTCCCAGGCAAGCTAGGATCACTGACTGGTCACTCTTGGAGGGCTCTTATTAATGTTAAGGAAATAGTTATATAAATGATTGGTTAAAACCACAGCCTGGTTCTGCCCATTTTCATTATATCAAATAATTATTTATATATTTATACTTTTTAACTAAACAGTCTGAACTGTGCGTTAATTGTGCATATAGATATAAGATACATTCTTGGGGAAATATCATAACTAAAATTCCATTTCTTACTCCCCAAACTGAAAAAAAAAGTAACAACATAAAAACATTGTGCATAAGCCTTCTATTACTTAATGTTACATAATTGTTAAAATCATACCCTAAACTGACAACCAATGCAGTACATGACTGCATAGAGACATCACCAGGGCAGGTGAGAGTCCGACAGGCACTGGGTGAGTTTGTGCCTCACTGAGGGGAAAAAAAAACTAAACATGGGCAAAGAACATGCTAAGAAGCTGAGAAGCAGAATGTCATCATATGCATTCTTTTTGCAAATGTGCTGGGGGGAGCACACGAAAAAGTACCCAGATACTTTAGTCACTTTGTCAGAGTTTTCTGAAAAGTGCTGAGAGGTGAAAGACTGTCTGCTAGAGGAAGGAAAATGTATCAAAGAACATCCAGGTTTATCCATTGGTGATGCTGCAAAGAAGCTGGGAGAGATGTGGAATAACACTGCTGCAGATGACAGCTGTGTTCATCAGGCTGTTAAGCTAAAGGAAAAATTTGAAAAATACATTCTTGCATAAGACTATGCTGCAAAAAAGGGAGTCATCAAGTAAGAAAAAAAAAGCAAGAAAAATGAAAAGACGGAAGATGAAGAGGAGACAGGAGATGATGATGATAAATAAGTTGGTTCTAGTTTTTTGGGTCCATAAAGCATTAACCTCTCTGTATACAACTCACTCCTTCTAAAGAGAAAAAGATGAAATGTAAGGCTAAGCAAGACTTGTTTTTAAACTGTACAGCATTATTTTGGTATAATTAACAAACTACCAAATGTGTTAAATGCTAGCTAGCTCTGTCCTGGTGGTATTTTTAATAGCCACTAACCTTGCCTGGTACACTACAGGAGTAGTAAATTGGCATAGAAGTTTAAAGTAAGTTCCTATTGGTATATAGCACAAATCAGTTACCTATATATAAGGATGATAGTTTTTCACATTCCTTTGTCTTTGATGCACCATCTATGGATTAATTGCTGTTCTGTTCATTGAATACCACTTTGTAACACCCCCCAAAAAGTTGCTGTTGGTTTGCTGACGTTCTAAATGCCTCTGAATAAATACAATTTTCTTATTAGAAAAAAAAAATCAGCCCTGGCCAGGTGACTCAGTTGGTTGAAGCATTGTCCTACATACCAAAAGGTCATGGGTTTCATTCCAGGTCAGGGAACATACCTAGTTTGTGAGATTGATCCCTGGTCGGGGTGCATTATGTGAGGCAACCAATCAATGTTTCTCTCTCTCCCTTCCTTCCTCTCTCTAAAATCAATGAATGTATCCTCAGGTGAGGATTAAAAAAAAATAATAACCTAAACCTATATTTTACCTTAGTGTTATCTGCTGCATAAAACACAATTATCCTTTTAAAAATTGTTTAAGCCCTGGCTGGCATAGCTCAGTGGATTGAGCACGGGCTGGGGACCAAAGTCCCCAGGTTCGATTCCCAGGTTCAATTCCCAGCCAGGGTACATTCCTGGGTTGCAGGCCATAACCCCCAGCAACCGCACATTGATGTTTCTCTCTCTCCTCTCTCTCTCTCTCCCTCTCTCTCCCCTCCCTTCCCTCCCTAAAATAAATAAATAAATAAAATATTTTAAAAAAAATAAATAAAAATTATGTTTAAATATAATTTATTTCACATGTAGTTACTTAAGCCCTTAGAAACTATGGTGATTTTTATTTTATTTTATTGTTTTTAATTAATTAATTAGTTAGTTTATTTATTTTTTAGGTAGAAGCATGCCTTTTGCAGTGAGATTGTGCATGATTTGTTCTTTGGAGGACTTTATTTTAATGAGGTTCTTCTGCAAATGGATGGTGACAAAGTTTAGGTTTGTTGGGATTATTTTCCAGCAGCCAATTGGCTAGCCAAATCTATGGAAAAAAGAAAAAAAAACTCTTAATAAACATTTAAGTATTTTCTTCAATATATAGTATCTCAATTTAAAACTTAAACAGTTTTCAAAATCACTTTAAGAATAATGAAAAATGACCATTAAAAATGGAAACACTAAGTTTTACAGTATGCGAGATTGTCAAGTATAGGCCCAAACTGGAAAGGAATAAGTAAAACCATCTCCATTCACAGATGACATGATTCTACATATAGAAAATCCCAAAGAATCCATAAGAAAGCCACTAAAGCTAATAAATGAATTTTGCAAAGTTATAGGTTACAAGATGAACACAAAAAAATCAGTTGCTTCTATTCACTGGCAATGAATCCAAACTGGAAATTAAGAACACACTTTCACTCTGGCCAGGTAGCTCAGTTGGTTGGAGCATCGTCCTGATATGCCAAGGTTGCAGGTTCGATCCCTGGTCAGGGCACATACAGCAGTCAACCAATGAATGCATAAATGAGTGGGACAACAAATCAATGTTTCTCTCTCTTTTTCTATAAATCAATCAATAAATTTTAAAAATTAACAAAATCTTAAAACAGAAATCACTTTTAACAGCACTGAAAAAACAATTATCTAGGAATAGGCTTAACTAACTTGTATAACTGAAAACTATAAAACATTGCTGAAAGAAATGTAAAGACCTAAATAAAAACATCCTGAGTTAATGGATAGAAAGACTTAATACTATTAAGATGTTGAGATATCAATATGACCCAAAGTGATATGCAGATTGAACACAATTCCTATCAAATTTCCAACAGTCACTTTTGAAGAGATGAAAAAGTCAATCCTCAAATTAATATAGAATTTCAAGGGGCTCTCAATAGCCAGAACAATTATGAAAAATAATAAAATTGGAGGATCTTCTGACTTTGTTCTTCCCAATTTCAAAATTTTCTACAAAGCTATAGCAATCCGAAGAGTGTGGTTCTAACATATAGACAGACATACAGATTAATGGAATAGAACTGAGAGTCCAAAAATAAATCCTGACAGGTATACAAAAATTAATTCAAAATGGATCAACAACAGAAATATGAGCTAAAACCATTAAAATCTTTTTAAAAAACAAAGGAATAAATCTTTATGACCTTGGGTTTGGTGATGAATTCTTAGAGATGACACCAAAAGCATGAGCAACAAAACAAAAACTAGATAAATTGGTTTTCATCAAAATTTTAAAACTTTTATGCATAAAAAACATTATCAAGAAAGCAAAAAGACAAGCAACCTACAGAGGGGGAGAATATCTTTGCCAATCATATATCTGATAAGTGTTTAATATCTATACCATATAAAGAACTCCTACAACTAAAAACATTTAATGGGCAAAATCTTTTTTTAAGTGTATTTTCTTGATTATGCTATTGGTTGTCCCATTTTTTCTCCCCTTTATTGCCCTCCACCATGCACACCCCATCCCACAAGCATTCTATCCTCTTAGTTCATATAAGTTCTTTGGCTTCTCCATTTCCTATACTATTCTTAACCTCCCCCTGTCTATTTTCTACCTACCACTTATGCTTTTTATTCCCTGTACCTTTTTCCCCATTCTTCCCCCTCCCCACTGAAAACCCTCCATGTGATCTCCATTTCTATGATTTTATCCCTGTTCTAGTTTGCTTAGTTTGTTTTTGTTTTCAGGTTTTGTTGATAGTTGTTTGTTGTTACAAACAGTTGTTTACTGTTCATAATTTTGATATTTTTCTTAGATAAGTCCCTTTAACATTTGATATAATAAGGGCTTGGTGATGAACTCCTTTAACTTGAACTTATCTAGGAAGCACTTTATCTGCCCTTCCAATCTAAATGTTAGCTTTGCTGGATACAGTAGTCTTGGATGTAGATCCTTGCCTTTGATGACTTCAAATATTTCTTTCCAGCCTTCTCTTGCCTGTAAGGTTTCTTTTGAGAAATCCACTGATAATCTTTTTGTTTTAAATATTTTATTTATTTTTAGAGAGGGAAGGGAGGGAGAAAGAGAGAGAGAGAGAAACATCAATGTGCGGTTGCTGGGGGCCGTGGCCTGCAACCCAGGCATGTGTCCTGACTGGGAATCAAACCTGCGACATTTTGGTTCACAGCCCGCGCTCAATCCACTGAGCTACGCCAGCCAAGGTCCACTGATAATCTTATGGGAACTCCTTTGTAGGTAACGGTCTCCTTTTCTCTTGCTACTTTAAGATTCTCTCCTCTTTAATGTTAGGAAATGTAATCATGATGTGCCATTCTGTGTGCTTCTCTGGGACTCTCTGAGCTTCCTGGACTTCCTGGAGGTCTACTTCCTTTGCCAGATCAGGGAAGTTCTTCATCATTATTTTTTCAACTAAGTTTTCAATTTCTTGCTCTTTCTCTTCTTTTGGCACCCCTATGATTCGGATGTTGGAACATTTAAAGTTGTCATGGAGGTTCTTAAGCCTCTTCATTTTTTTAAAATCCTTGTTTCTTCATCCTGTTCCGGTTGAATGTTTATTTCTCCCTTCTGCTCCAAATCGTTGATTTGTGTCCTAACTTCCTCCCCTTCACTGTTGGTTCCTGGTATATTTTCCTTTATATCACTTTGTATAGCCTTCACTTTTTCCTCTATTTTGTGGCCATACTCAACCATTTCTGTGAGCATCCTGATTACCAGTATTTTGAATTGTACATCTGATAGGTTGGCTTCTCCTCGTCGCTTAGTATTTTTCTGGAGTTTTGATCTGTCCTTTCATTTGGGCCATATTTCTTTGTCTCAGCGCACCTGTTACACTGTAAGGAACGGAGCCTTAGCTATTCGCCAGGGCTGAGCACTTCTGTGTTGTGTCGTTGTATGTGGGGGAGGGGTCCTAGAGGGAACAGTGCTGCTTGTTCGGCTCTCCACCGGCTTTCAGTCACTTCCCCCACTACCTACAAGCAAACTGGGCCCTTCTGGTGCTGATTCTCAGGTGGGTGGGTTTGTGTACATTCTAGGGTCCTGTAGATCTCTCCAATGAACTCTCCTGTGAGGCTGGGAGTTTTTCCCACCACTGCAATTCCCACAGGTTTTTAAGCCAGAGGTTTTGAGGCTTTAGTTTCCCATGCTAGAACCCTGGGTTGTGTGGTAATGGGCAAAATTTTTAACTTGAATAGACATTTCTCCAAAGAAAATATACATATGGCCAATAAGCACATGAAAAGATGCTCTACGTCATTAGTCATTAGAGAAATGCAAATCAAAACCACACTGATGCTCTGGTCAGATGACTCGGTTGGAGTGTGGGACCATCCAACTATGGGAGGCAACTGATGATTGTCTCTCCTCATTTCTCTCTCTCTTCCCCGCCCCTTCCCCTGCTCCCCCTGAGGGGCGTGGCTCAGTGGATTGAATGCCGGCCTGTGAACTGAGAGGTCGCCGGTTTGATTCCCAGTCAGGGCATATGGCTGGGTTGCAGGCTGTTTCCCAAGCTAGGGCCATGCTAGAGGCAACCGACTGATGTATCTGTCACACACTGGATGTTTCTCTCCCTCCCTCCTTCCCCCCTCTCTAAAAATAAAGAAATAAAATTTCTTTAGAAAGAGAGAGAGAGAAACATCCATGTGCGGTTGCTGGGGGCCGTGGCCTGCAACCCAGGCATGTGCCTTGACTGGGAATTGAACCTGCGACACTTTGATTCACAGCTTGTGCTCACTCCACTGAGCTACACCAGCCAGGGCTAGAAATAAAATCTTTAAAAAATTAAATTAAATTAAAAAGCATATCCCCAGGTGAGGATTAAAAAAAAAACAGGATGTGGAGAAACTGGAACTCTCATACATTGCTAATGGGAATATAAAAAGCAGTCACTGCACAGAACTGTTTGGTGGTTCCTCAGAAAGCTAAACACAGAATATGACCCAGCAAATCCACTGTTAGGTATAGCCCACAGAACTGAAAACAGGTATTTAAACAGATATTTCTATACCAATGTTGATACAACATGAAGCACAATAGTCAAAAGGCAGAAGCAACATAAGTACCTATCAACAGATTAATGAATAAACAAAATATGATATATACATACATGGAATATTATTCAGCCGTAAAAGAAATGAAATTCTAATACCTGCTACAACGTGAGTAGACTTTGAAAACATTATGCTAAGTGAAATAAGCCAGATATAAAAGAACAAATATTCTATAATTTCACTTACATGAAATATGCAGAGATTACATTACTAGGGCCTAGAGGAAGGAGGTAATGGGAAGTTATTGCTTAATGGTTACAGAGATTCTATTTGGGGTGATGAAAAAATTTTGAAAATAGGTAGTGATGATGACGGTTGCACAACACTGTTATTATAATTAATGCCCTTGAACTATAATATACACTTAAAGATGGTTAAAATGGCAAATTTTATGTCATATATATTTCCTACAAAAAAACTAGAAAAAAGATTTAGTATATACAAAAGTATTAAAATAAAATTATTTTGCATAGTCAACATACAATTTTTATTGTGGTTACTGTTGTTAAACACACAGATCCATGTTAACAGAATATATGCTCAGGTAGAGAATATCATATTAGTAAGTAAGGCTTCATAAATCAATGTACAAGGAGAACTGGTCAGAAAAAAAATCAATTTAAATCTTCATCTTGCATTATATACAAAAATAAATTCCAGATGCATGGGGAAGTTAAATATTCCCCCCCATCTAAATATATATATTTTTTATTTTATTTATTTATTTTTAGACAGAGAGGAAGGGAAGGAGAAAGAGAGGGAGAGACACATCAATGTGTGGTTGCCTCTCATGCGCCTCCTACTAAGGACCTGGCCTGCAACCCAGGCATGTGCACTGCCTGGGAATCGAACTGGTGACTCTCTGATTCACAGGCTGGTGCTCAATCCACTGAGCCACACCAGCCAGGGCCAGGGAAGTTAAATATTTTTAAAATCTAGGAAAAAAGTTATATTTAGCAAAACTTTCAATGGGATAGGACTTTCTTAACTTAGATGGTAAATGAAAACCCACAATAAGGAAAAAAATCAAGGTTTGACTTATAGAATATTATTTAAAAGGCAAAATTAAAAGTTAAACAAAAAATTGCAGCAAATATGATCAAAGGTTAATATAACTAATATATAAAGTACTGTTACGAAACTCCCAAGTGAACAAAAGATAAACAGATAATTCACAAAGGCAAAAATACAACCAAACATAAGGAAAAATAGTTTAACCTTACCAGTAATATACACGTGGAAGTTAACACAATTAAAATATCATCTTTCTTTGCCTACTTTGCCTGCTACCATATCAGTCCCACTCAACTCTAGTGTTTTCTTTTGTTTTTTTCTTCCAACCAGATTCATTAACCTAATAAAATTCTATGTACAAAGTAAGCTGGACTTACAGGTGCAAAACAAGAACTTTTCTTACTAATATTTTGATAAGTCAGTCCCTCGGGTGTCAAAAGGAGCTTACCCTAAAATTAATACAAAAGTGTCCAAAGCACATTCAATGAATACCTAACTGTGGAAACTTTAATACTGTGTGAGATAATCAACATGGATAGGCCTGAGTCCCTATGACAGGCTGCTAGAGAACTGAGATGAGAGGTTGAGAAGCCATTCTGTGCACTGACACTGTGATGCTATCATGTTTCCAGATTGTAATATTCCTATTACCTGATTCTAGACACGCCACAAGAATATCAGTAGGGCCAATTTTGTTTGTGAGGCTATCTAATAACTTACTATATGTTAAGTAAATAAGGTAAAAAGTATCAAATACAGTAGTGTGTTTAGGAGCTAGCATCTGAATGTATATGTTTTAAAAAGATTTTATTTATTTATTTTTAGAGAGAGGAGAAGGGAAGGAAAAAGAGGGGGAGAGAAACATCAATGTGTGGTTGCATCTGGCATACCCACTACTGGGGACATGGCCTGCAACCCAGGCATGTGTCCTGAATGGGAATTGAACTGCCAACAATTTGTTTCGCAGGCCCATGTTCAAACCACTGAGCCACACCAGCCAGGGCCTTGAATGTATATGTATTTTTAAGTATATACAGATAATGTGCTTATACAGGGATGGGCAAAAGTAGGTTTACAGTTGTTCGTGAAACTTAGGAGTTTATTCTTGTATTCAATATGATATATTTTTACATATGAACAATTGTAAACCTACTTTTGCCCACCCTGTATATACATAGGTTTTCTCATACAGGTTATACTAGAGGATGATCGCAGTGATTTACTCCAAGGAGTACAGTTGGGTGAATGGCAAGGAGAGTTACTTTTCATTATACAGGGTCTGGCACAAATAATGCCCCTTATTTATTACAAATAATAAACATGTAATTCTGTAACAACATTATCACACTCAAGTACAACATATGACATTTTAGGTGAAATGTTCAAATTAAAGCTATAAATTATTACACCCTCATTATTACCCTACCAACCACACTCAAGCAGGTATTACTTCTGCTGGACCCTATATATCCTTTTGTGACTTTTGAATTATACTCTATTTTGGTAGGGCTGTTGCTAAAAGAATCTTCCCTGATTATCTCTGAGTCTTCAAATGGGTAAGAGAACCTGCAAAGAAGGGCCCAGGATAACATTTAGCCCTGGACAACCACCTTAGTTCCTCTATCCCAATCATTCTCTCTATGACTAAGCAATGTTGAGGCATCTAGAGGTGTAAATAAATATAAGTTTTCAATTTTAAAAACTTAGGTATCATAAGAAATAAAAATTTGAAAATTTAAGTGTGTATATATATACTTTTATCATTTGACTATATAAACCATACACAAAACAATGCTAGCAACTGAAAGTATATGAGTATTTAGGAATGATGTGCTTACAGAGTTAAAACAGCAAGAAAGTAAGTACTCAAAAGTTATACATACAGAAGTATCTAAACTGTATATAAAAGTTTTTAAACATGACTCTTGATATTTACACTGTTTCAAAGAATGCAATGTTTTAGATATAAAAACCACAGTCAATATTCTTTAGTGTGAATAAAAAGATTTCTTACACAAGGATCTGCTGATTTTTGCTTACAAAGCTCTGTGAGTCCTTTAAGCAGAGTTGGTGTTACATATAAATTTAAATAGTCCTTAGCAGCTTGTCCAGCTGGAATGGGCTCAACAATCACTGAAAATACAAATGTATTTCCATTAAAGCTAACATAAATGATGAGATATTATACAGTCATTTAAAAAGGCACCTTCAAAGAAATGTTTAATGACATGAGAAATAATTACAAAGTTTTTTTAACAGATCAGAATTAGGTACATAGCATAATAATTGGTTCAAAATGCATAAGCATATACATAAAAATATAAATAAATAAAACTACATCCTGGCTAGTGTGGCTCAGTAGATGCTTGAATGCTAGCCTGTGAACCAAAAGGTCACCAGTTTGATTCCCTATCAGGGCACATACCTGGGTTGTAGGCCAAGTCCCCAGTTGGGGGCATATGAAAGGCAACCCATTGATGTTCTCTCACACATTAATGTTTCTCTCCTCTTTCTCCCTCTCTTCCCTTTTGTCTGAAAATAAATAAATAAAATCCTAAAAAAAATTAAACTATACAAGACTGGCAAGAAACATCAAAATATTAACTTATCATTTATAAGATTCTTTTCTAAAAATTTTAAAAACAATAAGTTTTGGTATCCTTAACAATAAGGATAAATAATTTTATCCTCACCTAAGGACATGGTTATTTATTTTAGAGAGAGGGAGAGAAACATCAGTGTGAGAAAAATCAATTGGTTGCCTTCTTGTATTCACCCCAAACAGGGACCAAACCAGCAAGCTGGGCATGTGCCCTGACAGGGAACTGAACCTGTGACCTCTCAACTTGTGGGACAATGCCCAACCAAACTGAGCCACACTAGTCAGGGCTCAACAAAATTGTGGTTTTTAAAAAATGTATTTTATTTATTTTTAGAGAAAGGGATAGAGAAAGAGAGCAAGAGAAACATCAATGTGTGGTTGCCTCTCACGTTCTCCCAACTGGGGACCTGGCCCACAACCCAGGTGTGTGTCCTGACTGGGAATTGAACCAGTGACCCTTTGGTTTACAGGCCACCACTGAATCCACTGAGCCACATGAGCCAGGGCAAATTTGTTGAATGAATGGAATATAGCAAGGCTTTACCGACCATACTATTATATGGGAAATGGAAGAGTACTACCTTTTTCAAGGGTTAGGAATATGTTTTTGAATATATTTTTTAAGATTTTATTTACTTATTTTTAGACAGAGAGGAAGGAGGCAGAAAGAGAGTGAGAGAAACATCAATGTGTGGTTGCCTCGCACGTGCCCCTACTGGGGACCTGGCCTGCAACTCAGGCATGTGCCCTGACTGGGAATTGAACTGGTGATCCTTTGGTTCACAGGCCTGTGCTCAATCCACTGAGCTACATCAGCCAGGGCTGAATATCTTTATAATTTGCTTTAGTCACTCATCATAGAGTCTTGCACATAGTTTTTGAGTGACTGCTATACAACATGGAGCTCATATCACAAACTGAGAACCTACACCAAAGAACTTCATATTCCCACAGCAAAAGATCTGCTGCTTCTCAAATGTCTAACTGTATCTCTTAAATTCATGTCTAGAAGATTAATTGAGTAATATAAAAGGCAACCTAAAATAAGGGTTTAGGGATGTAACCCTATGAGTAAGAAGAGCTTCCAAATATATCTTCTACTTAAGATAAAGTGAGTTTTTATCCTATTTTAGTGAAAAGCTAAATAGGAAAACTGTAATTCACTAGTAGGACTAATCCTAAAGTACTACCACATTAAAAAATAAAATCTCATGTTTGAGATATACTTCAATATAATATGAAGAAGTACGAGCAGAGGTTATAGATGAAATAAGATTGACCAACCACAATTGTTGAAATTGGGTGATGGACCTATTAGGAGTTTATTATATTATTCTGTCTACTTTTGTGTATGATTGAAATTTTCCACAATAAAGAGTCCTAAAGAAAAAGATAACTAAATGGAATGAATATGTGACAGGAATTAGATCAGTTAGAATAAAATATGTAAGTAGGCAGATCCTTTTGTATACAAATATCTAAAAAGCAGTGTTTGTTTAAAAATCACAGCTTTTGCCCTGACTTGTGTAAACTGAGCACTGGCCTGTGAACTTAAAGGTCACTGGTTCGATTCCCCGTCAGAGCACATGCCTGGGTTTGGGGCCAGGTCCCCAGCTGGGGGTGTACAAGAGGCAACAGTGTATCTCTCACATCATTGTTTCTCTCCCTTCCCCTCTCTCTAAAAATGGATAAAATCCTTAAAAAAAAATCACGACTTTTAAATAAACAAGATAGTTCTTAGTTTTCTTGTTATAAATCTTCAATATAAAATACTGAGGAACAAGTCTAAATAAGTTAGAAAAAAATAACATGCCAAAAACAAATTCAAAACACCCCGATGCTTTACATTTTTTTCTTCATAATAAAAATCACCAAATTTTCTTTCTGCTCTAACATTAATAAAAACAAACTAAAAACCTCAGTGCTATCTTTATTGTGCCAACTTCTACAAGATTTATAACCTTCATAAAAAGGATGGAAACAAACAAAAAAACCTGAGCATTATTAATTTCACAACTGCCTGTTTGTTAGGCAAATGGTAAACTGTTAGAGAAAATGGCAAATCAATCATAATTTCCAAGGGAGATTTTTTTTTCATGTGTAACAAACTTCACTGATGCACTGGGTGTAGCTAAAAGGAATTAAAACACAGAAGGAAAAAGGAAATTCTAAATATGTCTAGTCCAAGAGAAAAGAAAAAGTAAACTCTTCTTAAAAGATTTCCTAGAAGGCAAAATCTAGTTCTGAGGAAAAATGTTGAGCTTTCCATTATTAGCTTCAAGTTTTAAGTAACTACAACTGGAAAACATGACTAAATATATTGGAGAGAAACTGTTATCTTTCTTCACCGTTTCATCCCAAAATAAAAGAAAAAGCAAACAATAAGGAGATCAATTGACTAATAACTTATCTGTAACTCACCTTCAGGAAACATGAATCGAATTTCTCTTTCTGCTGTGGCAAAATCAATACTCCCATGAAGGGCATTCCTTAGGTCATCTGTCCCGTAAATTGCCCTTAGGCTAAAAGCAAGTTAGAGATGATGACCATCCAATCTGACCTCTTTTTTCTTACATTTTACATATTCATTCTACTTAGGTATTTTACAGAAGCTTTTGCCACTTCTCATATATGGAGGTTTTAAGCTTGAATTTAAGCTTAAATCTATCTAGGTGAGGGTCAAATATATTTAAGTCTGCAGGAGGGATACAATGGAAAGACAGGAGTTCTCTGGATGAAAAAGAGGTGTTTTGTGAGAAGTGAAAAAGCAATATATATTTAAAAGTGCAAGAATTCAATGTCCTCTGGTTTCCAGACATTAGTGATAATACTAAAAATCTGGATTTCTGGTCCTGTATTATCAATATTCTTTTAAAATACCACCCCAATTTCCCCATGAGAAATCCTACTTCAGTGGCAGCTTAATCCCAGAATGAGAGAATAAGGTAATCAACCATACAGCAGACACTCCCTGAGGCCTTTTGTGGTATTTGGTATTAAGATAGACATTTAAATAGTTAAAACATAAATTGAACTTCTCTGCCACAAAAAAAAAGTTAAATTTAGGAAAATTTTCAAATGAAAGGAAATTCTTATTGCAACGAAATCATATTTCTTTTCATTTTCATATTTGTATTGCATTATTCCCCTAGAAAAATTACCTGTCTGGGTGTGTCTCCTTAGCTACTAAGCTATTACTTGGTCCCAAAAGTTCTTTCCAGTAAGCGATGGCTTTATGTCTAGCTAATATCATGGCAACAAGTGGTCCAGAACTCATGTAAGCCGTTAAATTGGGGAAAAACATTTTCCCATACTGTTCCACATAAAAGTTACTACATTGCTCAGGGCTGAAATGTAGTTTTCTTCTCTATAAGAGAAACAAAGTCAACAAAAACATTTAAAATGACAGTTTAATAATACCTCATTAAGTCATTAACAATTTGAAATTAATACCAATCTGGTTATACATGAGATTTATTCTTGTCTTATGAAGAAAAGGTGAGGTAAGGAAATTAAATGTAGGCTGGAAATACAATTGTAAGAATTATTTAATCTGCTTAAGAAAAACTTTTCCTGTTTAGCAGCCTCTAACATAGGGTTTATTAATGACAAATTCATCATATATCTCCTTAAAGTAAAAACACTCCAATCATCAGTATTTTTTGATGCATACTTTATTTTTAAAAATATTTTATTTATTTATTTTTAGAGACTGGAAGGGAGGAAGAAAGAGAGAGAAACATCAATGTGTGGTTGCCTCTCATGTGGCCCTCATGGGGGACCTGGCCCGCAGCCCAGGCATGTGCCCTGACTGGGAATCGAACCTGCAATGCTTTGGTTTGCAGCCCATGCTCAATCCACTGAGCTATGCCAGCCAGGGCTGATGTGTACTTTATATACATTAAAGTAATAAAATTGGATGTTAGAATATTGCAATTCATTTTTCCTACCTATTGTGGTATTTTTCTATTTATTATGAAATTTTTCTACACTATTCTAGGGAGCTGGTCCACCATGGTACCTAGAAATAACATGCAGTATAATGATTCAGTAAACAAGTTTTTCACTTGAACATGAAAGCCGTGCATTCTTTATTCTGTTTCCGCCATAAAATGGTGATTCACTGTGATCATAAGAAAAATTAGTCGGCACTGCTTATTAGTTTGAAAGAATATAAAATGTTTAGGATAATAAATGTTAGTTTCTTTACAAATGAAAGACTATACAAATGAATCACGAAATTTAAAAAACCACAGAAGCTGAGTCAGCCATTCTTCCAATTGGAAAGCATCATGCTTTCCCTAAAAGCAGGTATTTCAGTGTTTATAAAAAATTATACATTACTACTGTTTTTCGATTCCACTAAAGGTGGATCACGAGGAAAAAGGCTCAAAATATCACAAGGGATTCAAAGAAAGACTGCTGGCTGGAGTAAGGATGATGACACATAGAGATAAGTCTCAAGGTGAAGGCTAAAAATCTCTACAATTAAGATAAAAATCACCCTGACCAGGTAGCTCGGTTGGTTAAGGCATTGTCCCAATACATTAAGGTCGTGGGTTCAATTTCTCATCAGGGCACATACAAGAAGCTACCAATGAATGCATAAACAAGTGGAACAAATCCATGTTTCTCACTCTCTCTCAAAAAAAAAAAAAAAAAAGGCAGAAGTCCATCTTCTTGCTGAGAGTACAATGTCAATTCTACCAAGTGACTTACCTCTTAAAACTCCTTCCAAAACTATCATGTGTCTTCAGGTTTCAGAAACTTGGTAAAACTGCTTGGATTGTAGCAAGAAATCTAAACCTCCCAGAGCAAGAAGCTTGAGAGCATGCTTACTTACATGGGTCAGCACTGCATGAACAGGCTCAACTAGACAAGCATAACATTCTCATCAGTCAAGGACCAGTTACTATAAAAAAAAGTACCAACATCTGTTCTCATATTGAAATTCATATAGTCAAGAATTAACAGAAATTTGAGAAGGTGCAATAGCACTTGATTTAGTATAATCCTTGATTCTATTACTTAAAATTAAAATATGACAATATTTGTGATTCTTATACATATTGGTGTGGGTTGTTTTGTGGTTGCTGGCTTAAAAATTAAAAACCTCTTCTGTTACAATGTAAGTAAGCCCTTAACTGTCACATGGCACCTTAAACAGAGGATGTTTCCTTCTCAGGTGTGCTAGTTAATGTGGCACAATTATAAAAATGAAAGGCTCTTCTTTAGAGTTGATACTGAATCAATTATTCCATTTGGTTCCTTAAAAATTAGATCTGGCAAAATTTTTCGGAATTTGGATGAATATTTTCACAAAGAGAAGCAATGATATTAAACGTCAGAAAGGAACCATTAGCTTGTGAAAAAGGAAAGACTGCCACCTACTGAAAGGACACATCATTTTTCAGATTTCCCCTAGATAGGATAATAAAGCCTCTAGTTCAATGAACTCCCAACTGCAGTAAAGCCTGCTTTCAAAGCCTTCAGGTGGGGCAAAAGTAGGTTTACAGTTGTAAAATAAATAGGATATTTTTATTTCACTTTTATATTTCATTTGTTTTTCTAAAAATAATGGGTGGGGGTGGATGGAGGTGGAAGAGGGTATAAGGGGGATAAATGGTAATGGAAAAATACAATAAAAAATAAACTATTCAAGAATGAAATTAAAGGGTAACATACTTAGGTGGTTAAAAATTCAAAAGGATATTAAAAGGTATATACTAAAAAATCTAATGTCCAGCCAGTCCTGTCCTAATGCACGCTGTACTTGCCCTCAATAGGTAATCATTTAAAATTTTCTGTTTAATTTATTGACTCAAGACACATCGATTTGTTGTTCTACTTATTAATGCATTCACTGGTTGCTTCTTGTATGTGCCCTGACAAGAGATCAAACCTGCAACTTTGGTGTATCAGGACAACACTCTAACCAACTGAGCTACCCAGCCAGAACAATAGGCAACAATTTTTTTAATGTTTATCTCCTAGAGCTTCATTTTGCAAATACTGGCAAACATAAATATGTATTACTTCTTCTCTATCACAAAAGGTTGCTTACATATTGTTCTACATCTGCTTTTTCCCACAAGACATAGAGAGTTTCCTTATTCTTTTTACAATCAGTTGCATAGTATTCAATTTGGTGGATTTGCCAGGATTTATTTAGCCAATCTTCTTTTTTTCTTTTAAAGATTTATTTATTTTTTAGAAAGGGGAAGGGAGGGAGAAAGAGAGGAGAGAAACATCAATGTGTGGTTGCCTCCCGTCCACCACCTACTGGGTACCTGGCCTGCAACCCAGGCATGTGCCCTGATTGGGAATGGAACCTGCAACCCTTTGGTTCATAGGCCAACACTCAATCCATTGAGCCACACCAGCCAGGCTTAACCAGTCTTCTAAATCTTGGTTGTTTTCAATCTTGCTGTTAAATAAACAATAACGTAAAAATAATTGTATATATGTCACTTCCTGTTAATGCATGTATTACATGTACTAATATGATTCAGAATTGCTGGGTAAAAGGGTAAATAAGTGCATCTGTAATGTTGATAATTGCCAGATCCCCTACTACCGGGGTCATGCCACTTTTATATTTTTGCCAGATGCTCTCTCAGTGCTATTTTAATTTGTTTTTTTTCTGCTTAGAGATCAAATATTTTTCCATAAGTTCAAGAAGAATCTATGCTTTCCTGTGATCATCTACATGTTGTGCCCATTTCAACTGAATAATTATCTTTTTCTAGGAGCTCTTTATATATCAGGAAGATTTGCCCTTTGTGATGAGTTGAAAACCTTTTTTTCAAGTTTATCATTTGTTTTGACTTTGCATATGGTGTTTATCTGGCCATGCAGAAGTTTTTTTTGTTTATAGCCCTATCTGTTTTTTTCTTTCATGGTTCCTAGATTTTAAGTTATAGTAAAAAAAAAAAAAAAAAGAAAGAAAGAAAAAAAAAAGCTAGCCCAATCCAAGAATAAAGAAATTCATTCATCTTTTCTTCTAGAATATATATGGTTTATTTTTTAAATACTTAACTTTCAGATCCATTTGCTGTTTATCCTGGTGTATATAGTATAATACTTGAATCCACCTTTTTAAAAAATGGCTACTTGGTTTTTCTAACATTTATTAAAAAGTCTATCTTTACCTGAGTCTTTTAATTACTACATGAAAGTATACTTCCTTATACTTTCCTATATTATTTCCTTACACTTTCTTGTACCATCCCTACCCTTAGCCTCCACCTATCCTAAATTCAACCAAATGATATTTCTTCCCTGAAGACTGAAATTTTCTCTTATTTTTAATTGTTGTAAAAGATTTTATTTAGAGAGAGGGGCAGGGAGGGAGAAAGAGAGTGAAACATCTATCACCTGTTATATGTCCCCAACTGGGGACCTGGTCGACAGCCCAGGCATGTGCTCTGATCAGAAATTGAACCAGCTAGCTTTTGGTTTGCACACCAGCACTCAACCCACTGAGTCACGCCAGCCAAGGTTCTCTTCTTATTTTTTAAAACACTAACTAAATAGGCAAGAAGACACTGCATAAGAGTAAAACTGGGATTTCAAATAAGTATGCTACAAAAAAAGGAAGGTTAAATGTATTCAATTCTATTTTATAATCTTTAACAACGCTCTTTTTACATTTATTTTCAAACTTCTACCAACTACAGAGTAAATATGAGGCTTAAAACATTAAATATTTGTAATAAATGAAAAAATACCAACAGTCACCAAGTCCATCAATAGAAGACCAAGTAAGTAAGTCATGGTTCACCCACTCAGGGGATATTACACAAAAGTTATGAAGAATAAGCTCAGATTCAGATGTAATGATCTGGAATGCTACCTGAGGGACTTTGTAAAGGTTATCAAGGGAGAGGGACTCTCTTATTTTATTTGGTGGGTGGGATGGGAATGTTTGTGAATGTGCAGAAAAATCCTGGAAGAACAGAGAGTGTTAAGTGGTTGCCTCTCTCTGGAGACTAGGACTTGGGGTGGGAAAGGAAGTAAAAGAATTTTACTTCTCGTTTTATATACTTTTGAAGTATGAAAAAGACTTTTTAAAACTATCAAATATAACTTTTATAGTTAGAATAAATCTAAATTTAATACTAAGTAAATACTATGGACCTAAATAGGTTAACACATTTACATAAACAAGAAGACAGGATCAGTGAGAGAAAAGACCATCATCATGCCCAGAAATTACCTGAACAATGGTGAATCCAGATCTGATAATTATATCTCGTATCTCCTCCTCTTTGTCAACAATATCTGGTTTGATAATGGCCAGAGTTTTTTCTATATATATCTGAGGTGGGGGCATCGATATTTCCATTCTGGCTTTTTGAGGTACAATTGAAGAGATTCTTGACAGGTTATCAACTGTAATGACATTCATCCCCCCACCCCAATTAAATGTAATTGTGATTAAGAACATCATTTATTAGGCGCTTGACTTTATTAATTCATAAAATTAGAAACTGCTATCTTTTTCTATAAGCAGTGTCTCAACACAGGCATACTTGGGAGTATTGCAGGTTCTCTCTCGAGCATTGCAATAAAGGCAGTGGTAATATTTTTGCTGGTGGGGGGCCTCGCCTTCAGTTTATAAAACATGCAACACCTGCGAAGCACGGAAAGCTAAGTGCAGTAAAACAAGGTATGCCTGTCATACGATTTCTCCTTGGTGGTTGTGCCTCAGGATTTCCTAAACAGCTTCAACGAGGTGGAGAGGCTAGGGGGTTGTCTGAGAGTCTGGGACCAGCACAGATTCTAGGAACACCCACAAGGGACCGGGTGGGTAACTGTCTGCAGTACTCCATGGCAGATGGGGCGGCCTCAGTCCACCTGTACTGTGTGTGGGGTCAGGTATGTTTGGAAAGCAGGATCCCTAGCTTCCCTCGACCCCTCCCGGGTGCACCCGCAGATTTCGAGTCCACCGCTGGTCCAGCCACTCACCTTAGCACTTACTCCTCCCATTCGACCACAACTTGTTGCTAGGAGACCCCAAGCTCAGCTTAGGGACGGTGGCCACAGAGGGCCAATCTCAGCAGCACGCTTCACAGCCCCTGGTGGGCTCCTTGTAACCAAGAAAGGGAGCCAGCCACAGGCATTATTTTCCTTTTATGAATCTTACTTCACTAGACATCCTCGTCATCAATGATCTTATTTCATCCTCCTACTCATTTGAAGTACACTTCAAAATTATCTTCATTTTATAAATGATGAGATAAATCATAAACACTTGCCCCTCATCCCAAACCATCCCCCCTTCCATTTCAAATACCTCCCTCATTTCACCAGATGATGCCGTCCCCTCTATTCCCAGCTTCCGTGATCAGTAAAAAGCAATCTTCGACTTGTGAAGTAACATTTATTTATGGAACAGTAATAAGAGGTTTAGTCTAGTTACCTCTAAATTAAGCCTATGGAACAAAGACATGGGCAACATTTATGGCATTACCCCCAATCTCAGTTTTTCCCCTTTTCTTTACATTATGTCCACAGGCACCTCTGACTCCTTGGATGTGAGTGAGGTATTAAGATTATTAGAAAACAGAACAGAGAAGTGGTAAACAAGTAAGTACTGGGATCTTCTCTGGGTCAGAGTCTCAATGAGAGGTCCAAGTTCCAGAAAAGGCCAGGGCAGCAACTCCAGGTTAACAAAACAAGTTTTCCACCATGCACTGGGTTGGCTGGTTCTCAATCCAGACTATTTAAGTTTCTTCTTTTGTCTAACCAAATACTCAGCACCTACAGGATCAAGGCAGATAATAAGCTATGAATCTTAAAAGCTACTGAGGTTTGAATGCATTTTCATCTTTTTTCACAGTGGTATTTGACTATCCTTTTTTCTTTAAAATACCATGTTACCCAGAAAAGAAACCCTCACATGTTTTCTTCTGGCTACTATATCTTATCCCCTATAACATACATTACATGAGATAGTGTGAACATACATTAAAATGTACAGTGACTCTGGCCTCTGCTTTGCATGGAGCCCTCTGGTTTGAGGCTCTGGAAGCAGGAGCCCCCATTACCTTAGTAGCTCTCTTGAGAGCTCTTCTGTGCTGTCTGCTTTTCTAGACTACTTTCACTGTTAAAACTGGTCCTACTGAGGCTCAGGGTTTTCCCAACCAGCAGGTAAAAAATATCAATCCTTGAATCACCTCTAAACATAAACTCTGCAAACACTTTCACATCACCCTTCTTCTCACAGCCTTTCTAAAATATTCCAGAAATTACACTCCTTTTCTTGCAGCTTTCTACATACATTACCTGAATCTGCTCCAGGACTTCTCGCTGCATCTCCACAGCCATGTGGTACACATGATGATCAGAGTCATTGTACATCACAGCATTCTGAAACATCAGCATCAGGTCCCGCTGGAACTGTGCCATGGTGCAAATCCTTCCCTTAGACAGATTCCTTTTCAGGGTAGTTAAGTCCATGGGTCTACAAGTGGCCAAGAGAAACCAGAGGGAATCTAACCTTCATGTGGAACATGGGGTAACATAACATGCTCTCTTGGAGAACTAACCAACTCTTAATGAAAATGGTGGTAAAGAAAATGGCCATTCAGATAATAAAATAGCAACAGCAGTTAATATTTGACTGCCACTACTTAAAACAGGCCAAGACCTGTTAGGTACTTTCTGTATTAACTCAGTTAAACCTCCCAATAAACCTATAAGGTAGGTACCATTATTATCACCAACTGGCAATGAGCACATTGAAATATGAAGAGGTTAAGTACTTGCTCAAAGTCACACAGTTTGGATTCCAAATCAGAGGCAGCCTGACTTCCAAACCCACACGCCCAGTCACTATACCATGCATTGCAGGAAGTGTGCTGGCCCCGAGTGCAAAAGCTGTAAAGAGGTCCAATGATCTATTTGTCATGTGTAGTTATTGATTGATTGTTTACAGTGTGTAGTCATATATTAGGTATTTAATCTACTTCTATTATTGCATAATTAAAAGCTAAGAATTTTTTTCTCCTTTCAAGGAGATGAAAAGTGTGAGAGTCAAATGAATGTTAAAATGAATAAATTATTAGTGAGACACAGAGAGTAGGTATATAAGAGAAGGCATAGCAGTGCAGAAAGAGGACTGAAGTGAGAGGTATGAATCTGGGGTTTAGTTTCAGCTCTGCTATTTACTGCTGATCACAGGCAAGTCAAGACCACCTCTGAGTCTTAGTTTCCTTATCTATAGAATGAAGGAGTCTGTCTCCAAAGGTCCTTTCCTGATCTTTTATACTCTATTAACACGTTGGTTTATGACACCATTTTAGGTGAAACATGCTATAAAAATCCAAAATACTGCATCCTGGCCAGGTGGCTCAGTTGGTTGGAGCATTGTCCCATACACCAAAAGGTTGAAGGTTCAATTCCCATGGTCAGGACACATACCTAAGCTGCGGGTTAGATCCCTGGTCAGGATGTGAATGAGAGGCAACCAATCGATGTTTCTCACACTGATGTTTCTCTTTCTCTCTCTCTCTTTTCCTCTCTCTAAAAATCAGTAAAAATATTCTTGGATGAAGATTTTAAAACAATCCAAATTACTGCAATCAACCAATGTGTGTAACATCATTTGGATTATTGCCTTTGCCTTAGTATATCTATACTGTCAGAATTAATATAGTGTTCCTTTTAAAGTTTTGCTCCAAAAGAACAATGTAAAAAACTACTGAAGGCTAATGTGAGATCGTAACAAATGGATCATATTACCTAAAAGCTAACAATGAAAAAAAGCCTATTTTATAGTTTTGTTCCCTTTATTCATTCTCAATAAAGACTGAGTTTACCATAATTTTACAAACTTGTTCAGCTGTAAAGTTTATCTTGAGTTTTCAGGTAATATAAATGAAATAAATAATCTAACAGATGGGAAATAAAGTATGAAAAGACAGATATAAAAGCAACCAACCTTTCTTGACCCCTTTTCCACTGACCTTTTCACCACATCCTTGTATCCTGGGGCCTGCCTTTCTGACACAGGCTTCAGAAATGGACTGCTGAACCTGTTAGGGGACAAATCCAGAAAGGATGAAGAAACTGTAGAAAGTCACTCTAAATGAGAAGAGTGGCTATGAATACCAAGAGTGGCTTGGCGACCTACCTGTGACTGGCAATCATCTTCCAGACTGGCAGGAGAGTCTTCTTAAATAGTAAGTGATCCTGAACAGGGTCACTCTGGCTTAGATCAGACCTATGGGATAAAAAAGAACAGAAAAGAAACAGTAACTTCACAAATGGCATTCTGTCTCCCCCAGGTGGTAATGAGATTTTATCAAGACATAGTGGTCCTAGTTAATATCTGAAGGAATATAACACCATAAGAATAAAAACACATTTAATGCTTCCATAAGGGACTCCAAACTCTATAAATATTCTCTTACTAATCACTATTAGCATCCCCATGAGGGCATTACCTTCTTATAAAGTATACTACAAATCTGAGGCCCTGGCTGGCGTAGCTCAGTGGATTGAGCACAGGCTGCGAACCAAAGTGTCACAGGTTCGATTCCCAGTCAGGGTACATGCCTGGGTTGCAGGCCATGACCCCCAGCAACCGCACACTGATGTTTCTCTCTCTCCCTCCCTTCCCTCTCTGGAAAAAAATAAGTATACTACAAATCTGCAATTTCCTGTGCCTTTTGGTTTCCCGATGATTTGCTCTTCTGCACCTGTGACTCTAAAAAACTGATCTAAGAACATAATCTGTTTACTGATGTTTCCCAAGTCCCTGGCACATAGTAGGTGCTCAATTAAGTATTTGATAAATGAATCTGGTCCTGTTTTTATGTAGAAATATGCCACATTAGTAAGTATCTCTCCCATGTTTCCACAGAATACTTGGTTTCACATGCCAAAGAATTCTCACATTTTATCTGATTGCTATATAATTTAGATATTTTTCCTTTTGCTCCCCTCTAATAGTAGTCCTTACAATACCTAAGGAAATTTCATTTACTCTGAGATAAGCTGTATAATTTATTTAGCTTTTCTTCAGAGGTACAACTGTTCAATGTTTTATTTCTTTTTATAATGTTCCCAGTTAGCAAGCTTCCTATTTACTCCAAGGTTAAACATCATGTTACTCCAAATGAGTTCTCTTTACATCTAAGTTTTCACACCCTCATTTTGCTTTATGTACCATATTGTGTGCATCCATTTGAACCCAACTCATATCTCATTTTATCTTTCTCCAATTCAAGCAGCTTCATGTAACTATTCATTTTCATGATGCAATCAATACCTCACCCGCATCTAAATTATATACCACAAAAATCAACTTATCCTTAAACAGAGAACCTTATTAGAACA